TTGTGTGTTTTTGCTTTAAAATGAATAATCATGTGTTCTTATTTCGGTTAGGTTTTTATGCCTTAGTTATCTGCAGTATAGTTGTATAATTATTAAAAATTTAAAAGTTGTTTAAGTGAGGCTAAGCCTAATTTTTTCTACTATAGCAGCCAAGTTTGTTTGCATTAAAAACTTAGCAGAATAGTGGATTTGTTGCCAATCTAGAGAAACTAAGCTTCGCAACTACAAATTAACGTCTTCTTTTATTATTGCGAATTAAATTATGCTTAATATATTCTGGAATTATCATTTAAGTTATTAAATTATCCCATGCATTGATTCAGCAAAGCGTCCACAACAAATTAAATCAGTATCTACATTTTCAGTGTCTTTTTGGAGAGTGAGACCAAACGTAAACTTTCGGTTGGGTGCACCGAAAAATCTGTCTTCGCGCTCGCTAGAAGAATTGCTGGTTTTTGCGTAAAACTGTAATTTTAATTGTACAAATTATTTTTAATTTTTTTAACTGTATTTGGTGTTTTATGTTTTTCTATATCTTTAAATTTTAATGAAGATATTTTGTGCTTTTTTATTTTACCATTGCCGCGAAGTGGGAACTGAATTAATTGAATATGAATTATATCTCTAAAGAAATTCGAGGAAATAAGTGTTTCATGCTAGCGGAAAATACTGTCGCCAGCCTTTTCGGGCAGAGCAGAATGTTTTCGAGTACCGCATACGCATTAGCTAAGCTCCGCTGAATCGTGTATGAAAAACTATTTACTTTTTATTTAACTTCTTTTATACATCGTTTTAGATTTATTATTATTTGTGGCACGATTAGATAATTCTTAGATGATCTTTTTGCACGCGGCATTTGAGTTAAAAATGAATGAGATATAGCCAGAGTATCGCTGTAGTAAATATATAGAATTTTAAAAAGCGCATTTATTCTATGTGGTTTATGCGCTATCGACGACGTAATTTAATCAATTCAATAATGTTAAATGAAATGCAGGAAAAAAGCGTCATGTGATGTACACACATCATATTTATTTATCTTACGCTGCAGCAAAGACAACCTTCAAAGCTATTTAATTGTTTTCTAGAGCAATTTAACCATCACACGGACAATTAAGATGTTCTTATCAATTATTATGAAGGTTCTCATTACTGTGAGTTACTTACTCACAATACTTACTGGCACATTAGTACTTAAGCCAGTTATTACCTTATGCAGAAATATCAGTTTTAATATTTCACAAATAAAAGATACATGCAGTTCAAAAAAGTTTATTGCATGCACCTTTTTCATAAATATCAGCTCAAAATTTCATTTTAAAGAGCAGTCTTAGAGGTTATTCTATAGCTTAATTAAATTGAAGAATTTTACGTTTGAAAAGAGTAACCGATGGCATAAATTGCTTCTTTTCTTATTGCAATTAGCAGTACAGAATGAACTTAGACAGTTTACTACCTATATAAATTAACTCGAAACGAAAAAACAACCATCGACTTCATTCTAATTACCCTGCTCAGACCTCATTAGGTTTACAATCAATTGTAAGGACATCTGCTTTGTTTTGCGTTATTCTGGTAGAAAGAAGTCTGCCATTTATTACTTTTACCTTATACTAGCCGAAATATAAATTGATTTGCAAATTTTAAGATTTATTCTCTTTTTATACGTACATCTCATATTTTTCGAAAGTATAAAAGCTGAGCAGAAAATTTGTTTTCTTTTGTAGGCTTTCTATAGTATGATGAATACAATCGTATAGAAAGAGTTTGCATGATACTTTGGGCGGATAATCCAAGTTTATATGGATGATGTCGGTGAGGTCAATATTTATATTTTTATTAATCTGTGCGTATATTTCTGTGCAACGATGGGGTGTTTGAGATAACCAGCACTGTGGAGCAGGGAGGCGGGTAATTTTTGGAAGGATTTTGCAAAAAATATTATATTTTTTACTATAACATATTTATTAAAATATGTGTTTTCTTTCAATATGTTAAATATTTTGCCAAGTTACGATAATGATAGTTTGGAAAATTTTGTAAAATATTGCAAAAACCACCCACTTGCACCTATTTCATCTTTAAAAAAATGAAGTTTGTTGGTTTGATAAGTCATTATAGAACAGTTACAGGTAAAATAATAAAATTTTCCTTTTAAAAAAGTTTGACAGAAAAACAATTATAGAAAATAACTGATATGTAAACATACATTATGTAAATTTTAAACATAAAATACCGAGTGGTTATAATTAAACTTCCTCTATAAAGCGCCATCCTACAACGCAAACGGGTGAACGATACAAGATGCGCTCATGGAATTTCGAAAAAGAAAATTTAGTTCCAAAATGTCCACCAGAGGGTATTTTTTTGGGAAAACGTGAAATTTAACATAATAAACGACCAAAATGGAATACAGAAATAACATTAATTAAGAATTATCAGTAATATAAAGCAAAACCAGGAAAAGCTGTCAATTGGAGAAAAATGTTGAGATTTGCATGATTGGGAAGAAGAAGAAGCTTTATGCAAAACAGGCTAGGGTACAAAACGTTTGCAGGTGTCGCCATGTTTTAAGTCGATGTTTCTGGTTGTACTACTGACAGTCTCTTTAGTTGAATGTGCGTTATTGTGAAGCTGTTTTACATAAACAAGGGGAATGCTTCTGCTGCAGTTAGTGAATTTTGTCGTAGAAAGAACCTACAGCGTGGACCAATTTCTACTAAAGGTATATGGGCCATGATTAAGAGATTTGAAGAGACTGAAATTGCGAGTTCAACCAGGAAGAAGCCGTAAACGTGTCACAACTTGTTGATGCCACCAAGACAGCTGTTGACGCAGAGTCGCAGACATTAAGTGTTTGGGGGCAGTAGCATGCATGCACTTTCTCAACAGATGGGCTGAAAAGTATTCAGAAACATAATGCACTACTTCCCATTCCGCCATACCCATGAGTTGCTTGATAAGGACAAACAAGCCAAGTCTCTCTCATTTGCAGTCAGTTTTCTCAACAGAATGACTGTTGATCTGTCATGGCCTTGGAATATTCTGTGAAGTGACGAGGCTCATTTCTACCTCAATGGGACAGTTCGACACACAAAATTGCCGCATTTGGGCTAAGGAAAATCAACAGATCCACACTGAAATCCTCTTAGTTTCCAAAGGTCTGGTGTGGATTCATGGTGACATTCATCCTTGGACCATTCTTTGAGTAAATCGGTGAACGTGGGCGTGTCACATGTTCTGTTATGGGTCGTTGGTACCATGACATGTTGCAGACATTTGTTGAGCCATAACTACAGCAAAGATGGGTCCTTACATCGACCATTTTCATGCAGGATGGTGCCCCCCCACATGTCTGGGTCCATGAAGGCACTATTGCTCCAACACTTCACAGAGGAACGTGTTATTAGTTGCTCATTTCCTAATAAATGGCCACCACGTCTGCGTGATTTCCAGTTATGGGGCTATTTAAAAATTCTGATATATCGTGGAGGTGTTGAATGACTTAAAGAACAATAATGCTTCATGTGCCTAGCCTCACAACTGATCAGTTACAGTCTGCTGTTGAACACACTGTCCATAGAGTTGAAATTTTGCTGGTGAATAAGGGTGGTCACATGGAGCACCTTTCTCTAACTGCTCCTCTTGTAGAATTTCGTCCTAATCCGTTCTTGTTTCTTCAAACTGAATTGTTTTTGTTTCTCTCTTACCTTTACTTAATGCGGTTCGATGGTAAGGTGAGTAGAAACTTGTTTCTGTATTGGTGATTTATTATGTTAAATTTCATGTTTTCCCTGAAAAGGTGCCCCTGGTGGACATTTTGGAAATACAGTTTTTTTTTTAAATTCCATGAGCGCACATCTCGTGTATAGCAAACTTTGTTGCATTCTGTTTACCCGTTTGTGCTGTAGAGGAAGTTTAAACCCAGTATTTTAAAAATAATAAAATGGTGGCAACATTGTCAGTGTTATTTCCATGAGATTGTTTCCCTTAAAGCAAATGGTATATATTGTACACACAATGACTTATTTGTTCTGTGACACATAACATTTGGGAAAAAGACGATGGCTATTGTACAAAATAGATCAACTAAAAACATATGTCTAAATATATTCATGTTCCAGGTCCTTACAAAGAGCAGGCAAACTAACACGCCAATTCATTTAATCCGTCCGGTCACGTGTAATTTTTCCAGAATTAACTGTAGATACAGAGGCTGCACATTTTTCAGGCGATTTTAACACAGAGACCAGATGACAGCTTAGGATATAGTCTGGTTTGGTTATGTCAAAGCACTCGAGGGCTATCTGCCTAAAGGATAGGATGCCTTCATGGAGGATTTTCTAAGGGAAACTTTCTCGGATATATATGTTATATATGAGGAAAACCATAAAAATGTCCATGTGACCAGGACTGAACTACTACTGTTCAGCAACTTCACCACTAGTAGGCCTCACAACTTAGAAAAAGAACCTTTATGCATATTTCTTGAAGTTTAGCAAACTTGGCTCTTTTGCAGTAATTTCAAAATTTTAGTTAGTCCTCATCTTTGGACATTGGCACATGATAAAAATAAATCTTCTGTTATCTTAGGTTTTAGAGATCAAACACCATTACATAACTTTAAAATCTGCAGCATCCTTAATATAAAATGCCCCATTTTTTTTCCATTTCACAAGGAATGAAGTTTATTTTGTGATCATGTGAATGTAGGTTTGATTTTTGCAATGTAAAGTGTTAACCACCGTTGTTATTTACTTAGTATTGAGACCAGAGAAATGCAAGTTAAAATTTTTAATTATTAAAGATTTTTAAAATCCTAAAAATTCATTTGCATTGTTTAAACTTTTGAAACATGGCTGCAAAAATAAAGGCCAGATAAGGACTTATGAATGCAATGTAAATGTTACCAAGCACACTGCGTAGTATTGTTATTAAAGATATAAATATATAACTGGATGAAGCTCAAATGTTAAATAATTGCACATAAATTATTCAAATATAGTAAAATAATTAAACTATATTTTCAAATAAAAACAGCATAGAACAGGTTTTTGAGTTGATTATCAGGAATTAATCTGACATAAAATCATAATATACATCATAAAAATAAAATCATAATATACATCAAAAACTGATCTGTCAAAAAACAAGACCAAAACATTTTAATAATTTTTACATAAATATTTGATCATATAAAAAAATTCAGCCAAACAAGACATGCATTTTTCAATCCCTGTTTCATTTCAAACTAAATATGAAGTCTTCACAATATTATTTCATTTTTGTAACTCTGTGCCAAGTCTTTATGTGGCAGAACAATTGAATTCAAAACAATAATTTCAGAAGGCACTTGAACATTGCAACCTGTAAAGAGATATATTATCATGATTTTTTTTTTCTTGATTTTGACATTTTTTATCTTAAAGTTAGCAAATTCACAATTTCAGTGTGAATGAGTATACATCTATGCAATATCACTGTCTTGTTACAAGTATTAAAACCAATAATGATTTAAACATTACAATTTATTACAAAACAGGCCTGAATATAATTCAAACTTTTAAAAACTGCTCATTTAAATTATTACCTGTTCTAGAATAAGAAATATGACTCCAATTTTGTACTTTTAAAAAATGAATGCATACAAAGTACAGTTTATTGCCTTTTTTAGTTAATGCATTATTCATGAATGTTTTACCTTTAATACACCTATAGAATTCTATAAGGGATAAAATTGTTATGGGAATGAATTACAAACTGTTGAGAAAATCCACTCTTCAGCCCAGAAACTTAGTAGCTGAAAGTCAAAAAACAGATCAACTTCATTTCAGACATCCTGTGCAGAATGGAAGATAGCACCAGCAAGCTGTAGCTGCAGGTGTTAAAAAAGGTTGAAGTCCGAAGGAGTGATGTTGATGGTATATGGTGGGTATGGCAAAAGCTTCCATTCGAGTGCCTACAGAGTCCAGCCAGTCAATGCAGACACATGTGGTCTTGAACATTACCTTTTGTGCTGGAACTCAGGTCGACGTTTTCCCTTGATAGCAGCATCGACATAGACTGGCATCTCCCTGTACACCTTACTATTGAGGGTTTTACCTTTTTCAAGATACTTTTTGTGGATAATATACCATGGCAATCCCACCATATACATTGCATAAAGAATATTTTCTAAAATATTTACTTAATGCCTATTACTAAATTCCAACAGCAAATGAAGGTAATCAAAAAAAAGGGGGGGGGTAACACCATGTCGACTTTTTGAATTTAACATAATGAACTCCTTCATTGCAGAAATGGGTTTATGGTAAATCAATGAAACTATCAAGAGTATTCTTTCAAAACCAAATTAGAAGCAGATACGTTTACTTTTCGAGCATGTTATCAAGAATATGTGAGCATTTAATGCTTGAAAATATTTTGTAAAAAGCATTGATGTACCTTACTGCAAAGTATTCAGGTGATACTATTTTTCTCTTTGTATCCCAGCTATGTTTCTTGGAAGGGAAGTAGTGTAACCTTTGTTTCTAAAACTTTATGTAGACTGTGAAAGGCGCAGTAAAAACAATATGAAAATAATAATGTTGTAAAAAGATCGATGCCTTAAAAAGTAATAAATAATTTTCTTAAAAATATAATGAAAAGATCTTAACGCTCCATTCCAAAAAAAAAAAGTTTCTGTGATGTAACTACCACTCCAGATTTTGAAAACTGGCAGATAACATATTCCTTACTTGTGTAATAAATGCATCTTTTAGTGAAAACTGAAAACATTCATTGAGGAAAACTGCTAATGTTTAGTTGCATTACAGGATAAAAATACACATGAAAGTGGCAGTTTTTATGCATATTTTTTACCCTGTGGTGTCACCATGAAAAGTGATTACTAGTCATGCTTTCAATTATGTGCATAGCACTCTCAAATATAGCCTAGTTTAACTTAATATTTGTTGCAAGATACTGCATACTGTTCCCCCCCATGTCTTTGCATCTTAGGGTAATTTGGACAGAAGTTACTTCTGCAACCCTTTTATATTTTGACCTCGTTGAATTGAAAATGAAATGCTTTTAATGATCCAAACAGATTAAAACTGTTTGGAGCAGTAAAAGCGTTCCACAAATGTCATTATTTTGTAAGTGATAATGAGGTGAAAGAATAAATTCAATCATGAATCCAACATTCTAAGAAATCCTTCCATGCTATTGAAATCTAACCATTAATAGCGGAAAAGTAAAAATAGTGAAATGTTGGAATGTTTGGATTAGTATGAGGAAGATTACCTTCAAAAATCATTTCCACACATCTTCATATGTTCTGTTATTCTGAAAAATTGAAAGTTCTAGTTTTACTTGAACCTCTTAATTTATTTTTCTAATATTCTAATTCAGTGATGGCCAATTTCTGTATATATTAAGATCAAATTTAAGATGTGAGCTGGCATCATGAAGCAGAGTACGTTTTCTCCGAAAATGTTGGAAGCGAAAAAACAAAAGACGGGTTATTTCAAGTTACCAGTTGGATTTACTGGAATGTCTTGTTAACAGCTTTGTCCAAAAATTAGCACTGGGAGGAAAAGGACTGTGCATACAAGCAGCATTAAATGATGATCATATTCTTTAAATAATTTTGGGTAAAATTCAGAACCATTAAGCAGAATACTATAGGTACACATGCAAAGATTAACTAATTTTCAGAAACCTACTATCAGAAATAGCCACTATACTGAAATTTCGCATGACACATTATCTAAAAAAGACCACGAATTTGCTACCTTTGCTGTGGGTCACAAAAAACGATGTTTCACATGTGATATGCATGCTTGCAGTTCGCCACTTATATCAGAATTCATCATTATTCATTACCAATGATTGCTGCTATATTAAAACTCTTCAGTGGAAGCATAACATTTTATTACTATAGCACAACAGCAGCTTATTGTATATCTAAGTACCACAGTAAGTTAAAAATGCAAAATTTATATAAGCAATATAAATAAAAGAAAATTAATGTAAGAAAATTGCAAATTACAGACCCAAAACAGTTATTGAAGGATTCAGACGACCAGAGCTGTTAAACAAAGGAACATTTTCCATCTTTGTGAAGGGTTTATTTGGATTGGGATCACATGGTGTTCCTTCAACTCGAGCCCATAATCCAACTGTACTGTTCCAACCTATTATGCTATGCAGCACTAAGGCATGATCCTAAAATTAAAAATTAACATTCATTGCATTATATATTTATTCACAAATAATGGTTACAAAATTAGTCATGAAAATTGTGTATGATTTATAAACTCAAGGTTTACATTAAAAACAAAAGGACTCAAATATATTACAATTTTTTACAAACCTAAACATTAAAGGAAGTATTTCTTTTAATGGCAAACAATTTTTTTGTTTGTTTTTCAGAATATTAGTTGCAAACATATCATTATTCAACACAATCCAAATCTAATTCCATACACTTGTGCCAGTGCTTAACAAATGTATTAGATACTACAGGAAATAATTTCTTCTGACAAGTATGCAGCAGCTCATGCATTGTCAACCAAACTACACCATTGTCCTGAAGTTTCACTGCAAACAGAAGTACACCTGGCTCTTAACCCCAGAGAAAAAAATATGCTGCACAAATTCATCATCACTCTTATACTCATGTAAATTTTTAGCATACACAGTTCGTAGTTCTCTTTCACTTCTATCAAATGTTTGCACCTATCAAGCATAGTTTTCAAAACTTCTTATGACTGATGTGATAGCAGGTTCCAAAAAATTGAATCATCTAGTTATGACTAACGTGATGCCCTGATTTAATATTCATTAGACATGGATTAATGTGTTAGTACAAGTCACAATATCAAAAGGCTCCATGTTCTAAATAATCCCTGAATCTCGTTCCAGACGTAAAGAATAGCAATGTAATAGAAAGGAACATAGCAAATATATCCTTAAGACAGAGATCCCCAAAACTTTAGGTGATGAGTCTCTCTCACTTCATAAATCCATCACTATGTTTAGTAATGATGCCACCTCTTTGATTTGATGTTTTCTTCCCCATTATATTCCCACGGCTGTTTTCGTGGCTGCAAGAAGAATTTTCTACACTTATAACATCATTCTTCATTTCATAAATTGATTCACACATCTATGTCAGACTCAAACTTTTGTCACCATAATGAATTCTCAGCTAACAGTAAACCTGAAGGAGTTTTATGCCTTCATAACACTTCCCTTCTTACATGGTTCACTTTTGCAAAAGATGCCACATCCTGTCACTGTTAGCCATGTTTCCATGCATGACATAAGCAATAGTGAGTTTGCTTTACTCAATAAATTTAATTTTTATCCTTGAATGAAATATATTTCTGAATTAATATGCAAATATATCAACACAGAAATAAGAATAAAAAAACAAGCTGAATAAGTTACTAGCTCAATAACTATTATTTTGATTGTGAAGGAATCGATGATGGGAATAGTAGTTTTTCAATAATGATATTTCAAATTCCCAAGCACTGCAGTTTATATTTTATCACATGTGAACAAGAAATAGAAACATCTAAAAGTCAACACATATTCATTTACTGTGGTAATGCCACAGTTAAAATGTTAGATTTTCTCAGAGACACTGATTCTGTTATATTTAGCAATTATATATCATCAATAAAAGCAGAAGGCAAGTGATGATACACAACATCAATTAAAATATACTTTTTGCCAGGAGAGGAAATAACTTTTTTACTCTACGAACTTGAGAAATTTTCATATTAAATATTAACAATTATACCAAATAATAAAAATGCCAGTTTACCTTAAGGGTGGTTTCATTAAAATATAGCACTTTTATTAAACACTTCTTAAGCCAAAATGATATCAATGCCATTAATTTAGAGGAAACATTTTGACTGTTTTCAGACCAGGTACCTTATTAAGTCACGTCAAATAACAATAACATGCAGTAAAATCATAAAAGAGTATGATGAATTCGCAAAATGTATAAGTTATAGTTCACATATGATGTATGTTCATTTTCCAGAAACAAAGACAGTAAGTTGAACATAATGGAAGGAATATACAGTATGTTTCTGTCATTGGATTTTAGATTGGTGGAACTAGGGATTAAAAGATAAGGAAAGAATCATTCACTAATATTTCATCTCAGTTCATGAAGGCAATTAGGTCACCAGTATTTGCAACTTGAATCTGGCTTCACTGATGCTGATACATATTGTGGTTAACACCCACAAAAGGAAAGTTAATAACATAATTATACTAGATAAATAAATTATCTGATTAAAAATGCCTCAATTAGCATGTCTTGAAGTTGGCAACAAATGAGTTTCAGAAGTATTTTAAGGTAATTTGCATCACAGATTTATTATTCAGGGTTTCCTGAAACCATAATTTTAATGTTTTTCTTAACTTTCTATTAACAAAGGACTAGCAGCATGTGACTTACAGGATCATGTCCTGGAGGAAATTATGGCCAGGCTTCATAGCAAGCTTTGGCAGCTTCGGCACTTAGGACTTTTTTTGTTACATATGATATTGTGTCATTAAGCAACACTATGGGCTTGGAAATTAACAAATAACATGTCAAGGAGTTACAAGAGGAAAGAACTGCAACAACTTCAGAATCAGCAATAAAAGGGAATTTGAAAGAAAATACCTTCAGAGGGAGATAAAGGATGAAATTAACTCCCACTGATAAATTAAGAAAAGTTGAAATACTAGTTCTTTGATCCATGAATTTTTTGAAAAATGGACTACAGTCAAAAGTCGTTAATTCGGACACCCATAATCCGGAATGATCTATAATCCAGATCTCAAAGCTAAAACGTTTGTGCGCATGCGCCGCGTTGACACATGCGCATAGGCGTCTACGCGTGCGCGTAAGACTGCACATATGCGTGTGCGCAAGTGCAGAATACGTTTTCGCATGCACGTTTTATGTATAACAGACGGTATAAGCTAAAATTATCTAATAATTTTTTCAGTTAATGTTGATGATTGCATTGTTCCTTAATCTTCGAATTGGATCCGGCTTATTATTTTTTGCAGACTGTTAGAGCAATTTTATAAAAGTAAGCTTGAACTTTCGATTATGTCAAAAAGCATTTCCGATTCTGGAGCTGCCAAAGGATCTACAAAGTGAAAGCATGTTTCGATGTCCATCAAACAAAAACTGGAATTGCTGCAAAAAATGGATAAAGACATGAAGAAGGTGACAGAGAGGTTAGTGAAAACGAAAACATTTCGATTGACAAGTTAGTCGGTATTCTCAGCACAGCAATTACGGGACTTGAACAGCGGAACTTTGTAACTGAACAAGAAATTATGACTGTTTACAGAATTAAAGAAAATGTATTATCACATAAAAAACGAAGCAACTTAAACAACTTACATTGAAAGAAAATGTTTAATAAAGTAAACAAATAAATATTAAGCTTTTTTTTTTTTTGTAAATTTTGATACTCTTTAGATCATAATTATTCTTTATTTCATAAATTATGGTTTCATATTTTTAATTTTATAATTTCTGCATGCCATCTTACGAGATTTAAACTGATGATCTATAATCCGGAAAAATCGATAACCCGGAATCGCCGAAGTCCCGACGAGTCTGGATTAACGACTTTTGACTGTATAATAAATCTAGAATCTAAATACAAATACTATAATAAATCTAAAACGATGTATAAAAGAAATTACAACAAAAAAAGAAGGAAAGAGTTTTTCACAGACAATTCAGTACTTCTCATTCAATTGATTTAGTTCTTACTTTGCGACAAGGCAAAAAAAATACATAAAAACTCAAAATATCTATATTAAAAATTGCAAAGTAAATCTTAAATACTTATTTCCTCAAATAAATTCCAGAATGGATTAAGCATGATTTAATTCACAATAATAAATGAAGGCATTAGCTTTGTTGTTGCGAAGCTTAGTTTTTCTAGATTCACAACAAATCCACTATTTGGCTAAGTTTCACGTGTAAACACACATGGCCACCATTGTAATCAAAAACTGGGCTTAGCCGTACTTAAAAAAACTTTTCTATTGTTGATAATTCCACAATTATTGCATGCAGATTAACATGGGCATAAAAATCTTAACCTTAAAGGCATAAAAATCTTAACCAGAACAACCTAACTTAATGATTTTTAAAGCAAAAAGCACACTATTTACAAACATATAAGAATAAAGAAACTGAGCTCACTGAGCTGAGTAATCAAGTGGATATATATTTTTATACTTTTGGTGCAGCCAATTGCAACTAAAATATGAGGTGCACATCTGCATGTTACAGCAGTCCCACATACAAAATTTCAACATTGTGAGGCTACTCGTTTTTGAGTTATGCGAGATGCGTACGTATGCACAGATGCCACAAAAAATTCCCTACAGAATTCATTTTAAATCAGTTTTATAATTTTTTTTCAGGGTAAAAAGAGTCCTTTATTCTGTCCGTATATACAGATGTGATGCAAAAACATCATTAAATAGCATTCGGTAGCCGCCAAAATGGGTATTTTCGTTGAAATATGATACTCGAAAGTTTTCATGATTGCAATACTTCCTTTTTACTTCGCACAAGGAAGTAAAAATCCACACATCAGCAAGAAAGCAACTGAAAATTCTGAGTGAAAAATTAGTTGTCTAATAATAATTTTTCTCACTTTTTTCCAATGATGTCATTGCATAGCTACTCGTGATGTAAAATAAATTTAATGCATTTAGTGCTTTGGCACGCAGTTACCATAAGTGTTTGTTAACCGAAAAAAACCAAACTGAATTCTAACAGCCAAGTAAAAAGTAGGCCGAACAGTTTGCATTCTTAAAACATATTTGGCCAAAGGAAAACCGCTACTTTTTCTGCTACTGAAGCAGCATTCCCCAGATGTCCACAAAAGCACCAAATGTGGAATCCTCTTATTATCCACCACACACAGTTTCGACATTGCACATATTAAATAATACATATGTTATATGATATATTACAGTTATTACAAATATATTTTTTTCCATGAAGCTTTACATATCTATCGTTAGAGCTGTTGCCATCTAGTTAGCTTCAAGGAAGTAAAAAGCATTATTATATATTGAATATGGTGTGTGCATAAATGAAAAGCTTTGTTCTTTAACTCTCTTTAATTTAACATATGATGTTTTTCTTCAGAATTATTTTTTCAATAAAAATATTAAGGCATCCTAATGATATATTTTAAATGAATTATTGGAGTGAACTCAATTATGCTTAGAATGTAAGTAAAAGTAATACTTACCATGATAGTGGCATTCCCAAGTACAATTGATTCTCGAATCCTTACACCAGCTCCAATGAATACATTTTTGCCTATAGTAACATTAGGTCCAAGCTAAAAAATACGAGGTATTTGAAATTAAATATTTTATACTAAATACACATCTATAAATGAAAAACTGTATTTTGTTAGAAATTTGGCATATGTGACAACTTATGCATGATGCTTCATTATAATTTTTTAAAACGTTATATGAGATTTATATCATAAATAAGGACTGAAATTTTTATGAGAGAAACTAATTCAAATAAATGATTTTATCATTTATTTTCAAACACATTCAAATAAATGATTTTATCTTTCACCTGGTTGCTTATACTTCAGTCCTTTGAGAAATGGTCACAGCATTAACAAATATTATACTTGATGTAAAACTGTATTAATGAACAATAAACTACAGCTTGTTTCTAGATGAGGTTAGATTAAGTTATTTAAATATGGCAAAGCACACAGCGGCTATCTCAGGGGAAGGGACGTCTTGGTGGAGGGCTCTCAAAAGAAAATTGGTTTGTTATCATATTATGCATGGGGAAAACCACAAATAACAACCATGAAACCAGCCTGTTCACCTGCAAAACCTTGAGTAAAAAACTCAGTATTAAGCCATCTTAAACCACTCAGCTACTTCTGGGGTGGGTGGGTTCTGTTTCCAAATAATATTATACAGCTTATTTTTCAAATACAGGTCCATATTCACTTTGGTTCCACATGAAAGTGAATATTTTAAAACCAGAATGATCAATAAATTAAATACAAATATATCAGTTTTCAGAATTATCTTTTAACGTTTGAGCTAAAAGTACAGAATGAGCAGCTTCAAAGTCAGAATAACTTAACATTTTAGGCAACTTCCAAATATCCTAAATGTCTAGACTTGCGTCATGTTAAAGCTGGAAATTTATTTGCTTTGTATATTAGCATGCACTCATAAAAAAAAAAAAAAAAAAAAAAAGAAAAAAAAAAAAAAAAAAAAACAAAAAAAAAAAAAAAAAAAAAAAAAAAAAAAAAAAAAAAAAAAAAAAAAAAAAAAAAAAAAAACTAAAAAAAAAAAAAAGAAAAAAAAAAAAAAAAAAAAAAAAAAAAAAGAAAAAAAAAAAAAAAAAAAAAAATAAAAAAAAAAAAAAAAAAAAAAAAAAAAAAAAAAAAAAAAAAAAAAAAAAAAAAAAAAAAAAAAAAAAAAAAAATAAAACAAAAAAAAAAAGAAAAAAAAACCAAAAAAAACAGTGGTTGCAAAAGTACAGCTTGCACAAACTTTTGTGGATACTGTGTATATGCTCAAATGAAATAAAGTCAGATTATGCTTCTGCAAAAATATTAACCCCTTAACTGCCGCAGAAAACGTACAAGATTCATTTCCCAGTGCCACAGTTTTTCACACAGGCGCACGTAGTTATGCGATGTATTAGGGGGAAAATAAGTGCAAGTTTTACTTTCTAAAAACTGTTTACTTTCACAAAATAAAGAATAAAAGAAAAAAATGAATGCTCAAAATTTAAATGTTTTGAGTAAAAGTATAATAAAAATGAGGGTTTTATAATAAAAAAGGTCCCTAAAATGGAGTTTCGATCAATTCATTTTTAGACCAGGAAAGTGTAATATCAGGTTTCAGTGTTATACCTTGGGAAATCAAGTATGCCTAAAAAAACATAGTATTTCTTCTGAACTGGTTGAATGCCACGATTTTATTCTTGATTTCTTGTTTGCAAGGTGTTGGTTCATATACTCGTCTACAAAATGGTTAGTTTCAGTAGCAATATGAAGCACGAGCAGTTCATCGAAAAATAACTCAAAAAGATAAATGGGCTTGAAACATCCGTTATATCTTTCTTTATTCCTCGAACCTACTACAAAAAGTAAACGAAAATGGAGGACACAGAATAAAATTTAAAAAAAAAAAAAAAAAAAAAAAAAAAAAAAAAAAAAAAAAAAAAAAAAAAAAAAAAAACGTTTTACTCAAACAACACCAGCCAATACCACGCAGTGATTACTTTCACCGCTTTAGACACACGCCTCTCTTCAATTTCTCCCCACACTTCTCTGAAATAGTATCCTCCTTTGCATATTTTGTCAAGGTCATTGTGGTGTTGCATTCCAAAGCTTTGCGAATAATTTTATGGGTAGCAGCACAAAGCAAATGATAGTAGTTTGGAAGGGCGTATATATACGCCTGGGGCAGTTAAGGCATCGGCTGAGCAAGGCGTATATATACGCCCGCAGCAGTTAAGGGGTTAATTCTCCTAGCCAAAAACTAATCACTTACTACAGTCAAAAGTCATTAATTCGGACACCCATAATACGGAATGATCTATAATCCGGACCTCAAAGCTACAAACTCTCTGTGCATGCGTATGCGCATAAGACCTTTATGGCTGCGAATATGCGTGTGCGCATGTGCAAAATAAGTTTACGAATGCGCGTTTAATGTATAATGGACGGTAAAAGCTAAGCTAAAATTATCTAATTCAGTTAATGTTGCAGATTGTGTTGTTCCTTAATCTTTGAATTGGATCCGGCTTATTATTTTTTGCAGACTGTTAGAGCAATTTTATAAAAGTAAGCTTGAACTTTCGATTATGTCAAATACACTCATGTCCATAAATTAAGGATAATGCAAAATCAGGCAAAGGAAGAGTTAGAAGCAAAACAAATTTTACTTATTTGTAAAGCTTATTTATTAAACAAAAGGTAAAGAGCAAAAAAAGATGCTATATGTTTGATATTATTAAAAAAATGAGCGATTTTTTTCTCCCTGGAGCAAATTACAAAAAACAAATATTACATGGTTGGTATGATTGTTAATACATTGTATGTCTCCCATACGATGCAATCCAGTCCGTGCAATGCCTACGCATGCTGAGTATCAAATTATCCATCTGATCTTGGGTGATATTACTCACACAAGCCCACTGTTGCGGTGTCCACAATGCATGCTCTCTACTCCAGGCTAACCGCAGGCGCCAGTGAGTTGCAGTAAGTGGAACGCATCTGACAGGTCTACGAGCATATAGACCAATCTGGCCTAAGCGTCTGTACACGGTCTGCCTTGAAATTGTCGTACCAGTGGCTGAAGAGAGCTGACGAGACAGGTCTGAGGCTGTGCTCCGCCTGTTTCTTTTGGCAGTAACTGCCAAATACCGGTCCTCATTCGGCGTTGTAACTCTGGGGCGACCTGTGCTGTAACGTCTACTCACATTACCATCATCTTGGAATCGTTGCCAAAGCCTGGAGATGACACTCTGGGCAATTCCAAGTTCGTCTGATACTTCCAGTTGGGTACGCCCACATTCCAGACGGCTGATAATTCTACCACGTAAAAAAATCATCCAAATGCGTCCTTTGTGTCATAACTATTCGGTTATTGCACTGAAATGCTTATAAAGCGCCTGCGAACAATTTTACTTCTTTGCCTGTATTCCTTATATATCACTCTCTTACACTCTCATTGTGACGTACCATCGGTGTCATCTGGTTACTTTCTGAAATTTGCATATGATTCTTGAAGATGTGTGTAGTGATTTTACAGGTGATATATTTATTTTAGAGTTCGATTTCCGCGTGACTCCGAATTATCCTTAATTTATGGACATGAGTGTAGAAATTTCTGATATATATGGCTTATATCCATTACTGGAAAATAAATGGATAGGATAATTTCTATTCTCTGATCAATTTCACGCTGCTCTGCGTGTGTGTGTGGGGGGGGACGTCGCGGCGCGCAATGGACTTGGAAGTTGATCTGTCAGCACTATCCTTATCTTCAGGGCAGATGTTTTTATTTAATTTGGCTTATAATTTCCTTACTAAATGTAGTATTTCATCTCGATGATGTACTCCGTTCTTTGATATCAATTTAAATCAAATTCCTCGTCATCATTATAATTCGCTTCCGATAGCAAAGAAGAAAGTGACACAGAGGTCACTTTCTTCGAAAACGGAAAGAATTTCGATTGACAAATTAGTTGGTATTCTCGACACAGCAATTATAGGACTTGAACAGCGGAACTTTGTAACTGAACAAGAAAATTATGTCTGTTTATAGAATTATTAAAGAGAAAGTATTATCACATATTAAAAAACAAAGCAACACTTAACCAACCTTACATTGAAAGAAATGTTTGTTAATAAAGTAAACAAATAAATATATTAAGCTTTTTTTTTTTGTTTGTAAATTTTGATACACTTTAGATCATAATTGTTCTTTATTTCATAAATTACGGTTTCATACTTTTAATTTTATAATTTCTGCATGCCATCTTACCAGATTTAAACTGATGATCTATAATCTGGAAAAATCGATAATCCGGAATCGCCGAAGTCCCGACGAGTCCGGATTAACGACTTTTGACTGTATATGATTTCTCTAAGGATAGGCGTTGCAGTTTGTAAGAATGATGTTTGAATCTACTAGATCTACAAAAAGCCTAACATACAGATGCACAATTTGTGACAGCAATTATGCATCATCACTAGAGCACCAACCAGATGCAGAAAATGGGAAGAGCTACAGAAAATAATTCTGACATAAAAGAATGCCAATCAGTAGTCTGAGCTGTTTGACACTACTTGTCGATCTCCTTGCTTAATCAAATCTGTCGAGCATCATCTTTCAGAGTGTATCTCCATTCACCTGTGAAAAGGAAATTCCTCAAATCATCTAAGGTCCAACTGATATCTGTCCCTACCATGGAAACTGGGCAGCTTAGAACCTGTTACATTACAACAGTATGTGTGTATAAAAATTAAATGTATGTTATTTCTATCTCATTCTACTAACAAAATGCCAGCTCAGCATTACTGAGGCAAGACCCTACAGCAGGGTACAGAGGTTTCTGACCAATAAATATTGAATCTACACTTTTCCTTAAACTTCCACTACTTGGTAATTATTCTCATTCGTAAAATGATAGAAATATGAACTGACCAAGCACTTCAAACAGACTGACTGAAATCTAGATGCAATTCACATAGAAAAATCCATGTGTTGCCATCACGAATTTACAAATAAAATAACTATTTAAGATTTTCATCATAACATTCATAACTGAATTTAATGA